ATTACAATTAAAGATCCATTTGTGGTAGCAAAATCTCCTCAGTTAGTTTCAGATCACTTAAAAATAGCAAAACAAGAGTTTCAAATTGTGACACAACTGGAGTATTTGAGACCTTTAAAAAACAATTATGCATTTCATCTGTATGGTTTAAAAAAAACAAACATTAGAATGGAGATCTGTAGGGGATTATCGTACACTGAATGTACAAACAATAAAAAACAAATATTCAATTTCTTGCGTAGTCGATTTTAATGTTACATCGCATGGTACTAAAGTTATTAGTCATGCTAACTTTACTGAGGTGTACTATGATCATCAAATAGTCATCAGTTCTGATGATATTCATAATTCTGCTATGTGTACCTCATTCAGTTCATTTGAAAGTATTTGTATGCAATTCAGCTTATACAATGGATTCACGACTTTTCAATGTTTTATAGATATGCAAATCACACAAGATTTAGAAGATGTTATACATTTGTTAATGACTTACTCATAACTTTTTTTGAGGAACATTGTAGGCAACTTTTTAAAATTTTAGAAATATGGACTTAGCATAAATGTTTCAAAATGCACCTTTGATTTACACATCCATTGGTAGCTCAGGTTTTCATTTTACTGAACATCTTTCTGATAAAGTTATTTTAGATTTTCCTCAATCAACTACCTTTACTCAACCTTGCTGGGTTTTGTACATGTTTAATTTTTACAGATGTTTCATAACTAAAGAAACCAATATTCCTTCTTCTTTAATAAAACTGTTTGAAGAACAAATCAAAGAAATTAAATCTCGTTTTCATTTTTGGAATTTGCCATTGCTCATGCTGTCCTTTTGAGACACTATAACTTTTGAGCCCACTTAAAAATCAAGGTAGATGCTGCAGATGTTGCAGTTGGCAGCTTTCTTGTGCCGTTTGTCTTGAGAAGTGTTGGAACTTACTGCATTTTTCTCTTTGAAGCTCAATAAATGTCACCAGAAATGGTTTGTGTACAGCAGGGAATTAAATTAATTATGTAACTTTAACAGCTGTCAAAGGGCAAGAATTTTTAAACTTATGGGAATCAGAAACCACTAGTATACACTTTTAAACAGAATCTCTCACAAATGTTCGGCTTGGCAATTATGCCATTTAACCCATGACTGGGGAGGTGCGGTCTCAGACACCGCTACAGGTTTTGTTCCTATCACCCCTTTTCTATATTTAGTCTGATTGAGTGGATTCTCCTGCTAGCTTATCCTTTTGTGACCTTGATAATTCTCACATATTGGCTAACATTTTTTACACCTGCTTCATTGTGAAATTCTATTCCATTATCTGAGAGCGGTATGTCAGACCGCACCTCCCTCTCAGTGTTACGATTTCTGTCCCAGGTGGAAACATGGCTCTGAGGTTCGGTCTGAGAAATATCATATATCCTTCTAATTTGCGTTATGCAGAAGTACTGTAAAGATTTCTTGATAAGTGGAAAGGGAATTTAGCGATGAAGATGAATGCCAATAAGATATAAGATTTTGCTAATGAAAGTTCACACTCCACGACATCAGAATTTTCTGAATCTGACAATGAATGCACTGAACCAGAGATTGAATCCATTTCATCTATAAAATATTATTATCCCACACGTCCCCGTTATGTCCCAATATTTGACCTCCCCTGTTATGGGTTAAATTTTATTGCCCAGTATTTTACTGACATTAGCCAAGTACAAGGTTCTAAAAATGTCATTGTTCTTTCGAGAACAAAAATTGAAATGAAATACAGTCAAAAGTCTTTAATCTGGACATCCATAATCCGGAACGATCTATAATTCTGGACCTCAAAGCTACAAACTTTCTGCGCATGCGTAAACGCATGCGCATAATACCTTCATGCATGCGCATTTAATGTATAACGGACAGTATAAGCTAAGCTAAAATTATCTAATTATCTATTTCAGTTAATGTTGCAGATTGCGCTGTTCCTTAATCTTCTAATTGGATCCGGCTTTTTATTTTTTCCAGACTGTTAGAGCACTTTTATAAAAGTAAGCTTGAACTTTCGATTATCTCAGAAAGAATTTCCGATTCTGGAGCTGCCAAAGGATCTGCAAAGCGAAAGTATGTTTCGATGTCCATCAAACAAAAAGTGGAATTGCTGCAAAAAAGTGGATAACTGCATATCCTTTGTTTCTCTAACCATTCTGAAATCTGTTTATCAATTTCATGCTTCTCTGTGGGGGGGACGTTGCTGCATGCAATGAACTGGAAGTTGATCTGTCAGCACTATCCTTATCTTCAGGGCAGATGTTTTTGTTTTATTCGTCTTATAATTCCTTACTAAATGTAGTATTTCATCTCTATCTTTGATATGATTTAAATCAAATTCCTCGTCATTATAAATATCACGAATACACATCAAATAGTTTTCTGGTTGCAATTTCCTAATTTCCGCTATGCGTAATATTTGCTTTACGCATGTGCACGTTGAAAGAAATGTTTAATAAAGTAAACAAATAAATATTAAGCTTTTTTTTTTTGTAAATTTTGGTACCCTTTAGATCATAAATTATGGTTTAATATTTTTAATTTTATAATTTCTGCATGCCATCTTACCAGATTTAAACTGATGATCTATAATCCGGAATTGCCAAAGTCTCGACGAGTCCGGATTAAAGACTTTTGACTGTATCTATTTATTATAGAATTGATCACTATGATTACAATAATGACATTACTTTACTACTTTACTACTGATTACTACAATGACATTTTTGGAGTTTAAAAAATTCTTCAAGTTTCTAAAGCTTGATAACATTATCCAGAAATACAAAATCTTATCCAAAACAATGCGTCATCTTTGAAGCTGGAATTTAAGTTCTGCCAATGTTCTGATGGTGGTATTTTTGTGACATCTCTACCGACATACCTTGCTCTTTTTTTCTGAATTCCTTTTCATCCATCATTTTCTACATCATCCATTACCTGTGCTGCAACACACTTTTGTTGACCTTTTTGTAATCGCTTTAAAGACTGAAATTTCTGCAGAGTCTCCATTTTGGTAAATCAGTTTCACCAGTAAAGCACGTTCATGGAGAGGCAATGTCATCTTCCTTGACTTCGAAACGAGTATGACTGCTGTTCAGCTCTCGCATCTTTATAGGATTGCTGTGCAAGCACAGAATTACTATGATTACGACATTTGCATATGCCAATAGTTTACATTGCACAATGCCATCTAGTGGTGGTTTTTGAAACTCGTTATTCTTTTTCCACCTTGATAAAATTCTCATCATTTCATTCTGCCTTACCCAATTTTCATGCAATTCTGCTACATAGTTTTTGCTACAGGCTGCTCGAAAATCTCAAGTTTTATTATGGACACCCTATATATCCTTATATGAAATGTCATACCAAAACTGGAAGTAAATCTTGCCAAAGATAAAAAATACACACTAAAGTATCACTAGATACATTCTTTCTCTTCCTGATGCATGCTTTTTATATATCCACATGAATATTATTGGTCTGATACCATCCTCAGAATGTAATATGTACCTTTTAAACTAATAGTTAGGCTCCTCAAAGCCATACCTATCCCAGTATGAAAACTAAAAGTATTTGCAGACCTATTTTCAATATACAAATTTCTCACTGTGGCTGGCCATCGGTCATAACAACAGACTAGGATTTTCAAATGATATATACAATGTTTGTAGAGTTTACATGCTTTTTGGATGTGAACAGAATCAAATGATGGCTTACCATTAAGTGACATAGTTGAACATTGTCATCAGAATGCAACAACTCAATAATGACATCTACATCTTGATAAGTATTACACAAGTTCTACATTAAAATAATTTTCACACATATACTTATGTATTGATCCAGTAAAACCACCCCTGTATTGGCCATGCCCAAGTCCTCACCAGAACAGACAAAACATTAAAAATTGAATAAATAGCCTTAAATCTGCTGTGTTTATCAACTATACAAAATCAGACTATTTGCTGAACTCAAACTGGACTTGGACAAACTCAAACTTTGCTGGACTTTGATTTGCCTGAACTCAAAACAGAGGCTTAAAGACAGTTCAACAGAGTAGGTCTGCTATTGAACTCTCTAGAAGACAAACTAACACTAGATTGGGCTGACATGTTCACCTTCCAAAGACACTTACTTCATGCATTACAATAAAAAAAAATTTTTTTGTAGTGCCTTTATTGTTCTCCCATTTCTATATATATATTTTTGTAACCTTGTCATGTGTTCAGTCACATTTTGATCTTTTCTGTATCTGTATTTCAATCTCGTAATTAGGGATAAAAACTTGGCAGATAGATCCTGTGATATATGCCTTGCTGGGACTCGTTCATTGCTTCATCCCTCTTTATATTTGATGTTCTTCTATTAAGTTGTTATCAAAGGAGCTGAGGGGAGGATCTCTGGGTTTGTTAATTGTGAAAGCAATAATGGCTCCCATGTTGTTGTTTGTGAATAGGGCAACTCTAAATAGAAGTTTTAAAATGAGCATATAAATGGAGTTCCACCTGTTGAAATGTATGCATTTTTAGTCTTAGATAAATTTTTTAATGTGTGAGAAATCAGATTGAAGTCCTTCATGAGTGTTGTGAAGAAATAAATTATGCATGACTACAGCATCATACTATTCATGCATTGTTACCCCGTCTTTCCCTATATTCTATTTAACAAAAACATTTTTATTCAAAATTCTAACTTAAATAAGAAAAATATGTTTTGTTTTATTGATAATTGAAAGGCAGATGCATGTCAAAAACAATTTTTGTGTAATTAAATTTTGTAGATGTCAGAAATACTTATTTTACTTTGTGAGTCATATTCTTAAGAAATTAAAAATAAAACTGAAAAAATACCCTAATTTCCTAATCATGGCTCTGCTATCAGCTAAAATGAATTCTTTGTGAATTTATGCAATGAAAGCTTTTTCTTTTTGTTTAAAATATAGTATTTTGTGGATTTATTCAAATATAGCTTTATTTCCAGGCTTGTGCATGTTGTGGGATCCCTTACAAGTTTATTTTGTGTTTTGGGGAAAGGATCTGAAAAAAGATTGTTGAAGAGTCCTATAATTATGACAATTACCTCAATTCTGTTAGCTTGGACATCAGTGAGTATTTGTCAATTAAGTTTTATTTGCATGAATAAAACTATTTTATGCATGTGCAACAAAATGCACCATACCTGAGTATAATATCAAATTATTAATTATCACATATTTTACAGGAAGATGATATCTCTAAACCAATTTTAAATAGCAAGGCATTTTTCCTGAAGGTTATTTATGATACTTCAGAAGATTTTGTTGTAATATCAACTGCTTGTAAATGTTTGGAAGAAATTGAAATTTTCTATCCTGTAAGTAATTTACAAAATTTACAGAGTTTATTTTTAATTTTAGAGGATTAAGAATAAATAACACTAACATTTTTTGTACCAGCTTTCATTGTGGCTCAGAAATATTAAGTTCCAAATTGGTACATTGTGTTTATTACAAATTAATAGTAAGTTGTATTACAAATTAAAAAGCTGTCTTGTTAAAGTAAATTAGATTTTTTCAATAGAGAAAAAAAAAATGATGTATCATTGAAAGAGTTTAATATAATACAGAAAAAGCTATTTTTCATTTCGCATCACGAGTTCTAAAGTCAGTTTAAGGTTTTAGTTTTGCTGCATGCGCAAATCACGTGGTTGTCGGTGAGAGTTTCAACATACTCCCAGCTTTAAATTTGCTGAAAAATCAAATTTAAAACTGTAACATTTGAACAGGCTTTACCATTCGACCAGTTCTTGTAATCATCGATGGAATCTTTTCGCTATTAAGATCTTGAGGCAAGTCATTACGAATATCAGGATCGCAGTAAGTCTCTGGTTCACCAGAAGAGCTGCTTGCCACATTTCTAAATCTAGACTATTCATCTGATGATGTTATCTCCAAAGGATACAAACACTTGGTTGGTCGCAAAACTTCTCCAAGCTTAGTCTTGACCTTAACTAAACGCACATGTCCATTCCGAGATTTGAAAATCCTCGGTTACTTTCGCCAATATCCAGTCTGTTCGCTTCTTATTATCATCGGACACTAAAACAAGATCTCCTATTTTCAGAGGTTGTGAAGCTTTTACATGTTCATAATTTTGCTGTAACTGTCCGAGATATTCGATTCGAAATCTTTTACTTAGATCTTGTAAAAGTTTTTGTTGATAAATAAGCCTTTTGTTTAAAGATTTCGCATTTATATTATCCAGATCAGGAACTCCAATGTGTTGAATCTCATGGAGAAACATGGAAGGTGTGATCGGAGATAAATCTTCAACATCTTCCGAGACATATGTCAATGGACGATTATTCGTTATTGTTTCACAGTCACACAAAATTGTTATAATTTCTTCATGATTCAGAGATGATCGTCCTAAAACTTTGCGAAGGATTCTTTTCAGGACTCCTATTAATCGCTCACACCATCCTCCCTACCAGGGAGCTGATGGCGGAAGAAATTTCCATGTAATTCTGTGGATACTAGCTTATTCTAAGATTTTATCCCAATTTAAGCTTTTGAATAATCTATCACTTCCTTTGAAATTCGTTCCATTGTCGGAATAGATGGTGTGGGGTCTTCCACGTCTAGCAATGAAACGTCTCGGTGCTTGCAGAAAACTTTCAGTTGATAGCGAGAAAATCAATTCCAAATGTACTGCGCGAAAAACAGCACAGGTAAAAATCACTATCCATGATTTTTGATTTCCCTTCAATATCAACGATCCAGTCAAGTCAACACCTACAATCTCAAAGACTGCTGCTTCTCTTACTCAGTCTTCAGGGAGAGCAGCAATGGGTGTTTTCAAAGAATTAGTATCGAACCTCTGACATACAACACAGCTTCTTATGACTTTCTTGACAGTCTTTCGTGTTTTCAAAATCCAATATTGTTCTCATAAAGCAGATATTAAAAATTGTACTCCTGCATGATTGTTCATTTCATGTTTAGCTCTAATTAATTTTACTACAATAGGATGATCTGAAGGAAGAATAATAGAAACTCGAAAATTTTCTGCATCATCTCTTCTCAGAATTCTGGTTTTAACCCTAAGGATTCTGTTAGAATCAATCATTGGTTGAAGTATACGTAATCTTTTGTCATCTAATCCAGAAAATGATTTGCTGTGCACTAATCTCAAAAGAGTTAGTTCGGCTCCTTTAATTTCTTCCGCTGTAATTGTTCCATAAGTTCTATCATTAGGACTTAGTCTGACATTTTTAACAAAATGGAAGATCCAAGATATTATCTTTAGAATGGTATTGTACGAAGAAATCTTATCAAAATTAACTTCAGTCATAGCATTCGAATTAACTGCAGAAATTATTGTCTTCTTTCTTTCAGCATTTATAATGTCAAAATTCAGTACAATTTCAGAGGTAGGCTATTTTTCTGAATCATTTCTCAACCAATCGGGACCCTCCCACCATTTCTATTTGACTAAGGTTTCCGGACTGCATCCTCGGGAAGGGAGGTCAGCTGGATTTAGTGTTCCAGGAATATAATTCCAGTCGTTTGGATTACTTAGAGTACGGATTTCTTTCACTCTATTGTGAACGAAAACGGCCCGGTTTTCATTCTTTTTTATCCAAAATAATGCATCCATAGAATCACTCCAATAATAAATAGGCAAGCTTTCTAGTCTCAAATCTTCCTTAACACGATGTGCTAGTCTAGCACCAATCGTACAAGCTAAGAGCTCTAGTCGTGGTATGGAAATCGGCTTGATAGGTGCCACTCTGGATCAAGCTGAGATGAGCTGACATGTAACGGAATTTTCATTACAGCTTCGCATAAATATGCATGTGGCATATTTACTCGAGTCACGAAACACGTTAATAAGAGATAATAATAAGATAAATCGGAATAAGATAAATATCATTAATAAGATAAATCGGAAATTCTTTCGGAGTCAGCAAAAATTCTTCTGGGTATAGCTATTTTTTCCAAATTGTGCAATTTATTTTTCCAACTTTCAAATTTGTCAGAAATGCTTTTAGGTAAATTGTTATCCCATGAAATCTACTGTTTCCAGCATTCTTGAAGCATTAGCTTAGGAATCAGAGTAGCAGGAGCTGTAAAACCAATCGAATCAAAAATCCTGTGTACTATTGACAATATATTCCTTTTGTTGACAGGCTGTTTCACAGAACTATCTTTAAAGTCACAGGACAAAGTGTCATTTGATAAATTCCATTTCAACCCCAGAACTGATACGGTTTTATCGGAGTCTTTATTGCAAGGATTTCCTTTTAAAGTTTCATTGCTAGGTTCATTGTAACACCATCCCCTTAAATCAAATTTAGCAGTCGACATAATTTCCTTCGACACATTAATGAAAGTGTTTAGTCCTTCAATAGTATCAATGCTGGCCACACAATTGTCGACGTACATTGATTCACTTAATTTCTTAGCTACCTCTTGTTGATGTTCAGGAACATTCTCGAGATGATAATTCAGTGTGGCGGCGAGAAAAAAAGGACTGCCATTAACGCCAAACACAACGCGCTTATGTCGATATATTTTAAATTTTTCGGAATCTCCTTCTTCCCACCAGAGAAATCTAAGAAAGTCTCTATCTCGAAGACAGACACCTATTTGCAAAAAGGCCTTACATATATCTGAGATAACCCCGTATTTACCTAGGCGAAATCTGTTTAAAATACTCGGTATTAATTCCAAATAATTTGGGCCCTTTTCTAAACAGTCATTTAAGGACACACCATTCCTTTCCTTCGCTGAGGCATCGAACACAGGTCTAATCTTTGTGGTTGAACTTTGCTTAATTACAGCCCTATGTGGTAGTTAATGACAATTTTTGGTTTTCTTATCTTCAACAGATTCTATAATACCTTTTTCAGCCCATTTGCTAAAAATATTTTCATACTCTTTCAGACAGTTTTTTGACTGAAGATTTTTGATGCAGGATTTTAACCTTTTCTCTGCTAATAATCTGTTGTCAGGTAAAACCTCATGCCCTTCTAACCAAGGAAGAGAGACCTGATATCTACCCTCACTATCTCTCTTTAATGACTGACAAAATTATGTTTTAGCGATTTCATTAATTTCCTTTCTTGTGTGGGTTGTAGCAGAGATCCGTAAATCATTTTAGCATCATTAACGAGTCAAGACACCATAAATCCGAAATTTTAGCATCATTAACATGAAGTGACAATACAGTTTTCGTACTGTCAGAGAACTCACGCTTTTCATTTTTCCCCATCATTGTCCATCCTAATCTAGTGTGTACGCATGATAACCCACATTTTAGTTGTCTAACTTTCCCTGTTAGAAGCTTTCCTGCCACATCTGCACCTAAAAGAACATGAATTTTTAAAGGTGATTTTTCATACATCAAATCAAAGATTTATTCTGCATGTCAGTTAAATTCCATGTTTTCGCAGTTCAATAAGATATGTATCTCTACGAATTTGAGGAATGTCAGTACATATTTTATCCTGATCCAAAACCTGAAAATTACAGTGATAATCACCTTTAAGACTACTCAATCTAATTAAATATTTACTATGAGTTTCTTTCTTTTCAATTCCTCCGAACAAACCATGGATTAATTCTTCTTTACCACTTGTTTTATAATTCATTATACTAACTGCATACTTCGAAATGTAGGATCGCTGGGAACCACTATCTATTAAAATTCTCACATATTTTTCGATCCCATCCCCACGAAGTTTTAATATTAAAGTTTGCAAATTTACTAACTGCATGCAAGATTTATTTGTCAGAACACAGTCTTTTTTATTATTTTCATCCCCAATAATGTCTGTAGAATTATTTCCGTGAGAGTTGCACATTATTGACAAATGAGCTTTACCGCATATGGAACATTTAACTTTGGTTTTGCATAAGCGGGAAATATGGTTCCGTTTCAAACATTTAAAACAGAATCCGTGATTCAGCAATTTTTGCTTTTTTTCATCTAAGGTTAAACGACTCGCATTCCGACATTCATAACTTTCATGATCTGAATCGCAAAATATGCAGTTTGAATGTTTATAATTTTGATTCTCATTTGTAGACAGCAACTGCGAGGCAGACGATACATCTGGTACCCGTTTATCATGCCAAGTTGACAGCTTGCTTTCGCGTTTTGTTTGTCGGGGGAGGGGGTTGTATGAGGAGAAATTGACGGTGCTTCTTTCGATTGCAAAGCTTTTCCCTTGCAATTAATTGCTGAGAAAGAAATTCCACTAGGTGATTCAAATCGTAATTTTATTTTCGAAGTGTTTTATTATATTCCAAAACCAAATCTGCAGGCAATGTTTTAAGCAAAATAGGTGCTCCATATGTTTCTGAGGTC